TACGTATTGTTGAAGGAAGCTTTCAGAGTCATTTAAGTGCCGATTGTTGGTTAAAAAGTATTAATTTTCAGATGAAGTATTTAAACTCTAGGTACAAACATAAGTGCCCAATGTCGGCTATTGAAATATGGATAAAACAACCTTGATTTTAGATACAAGGTTATAATTACGAGCCATTCCATTGTGACTGGTTGGACATTTTACTCCAGAATGTGATCAATTGTGAGCTATAACTATGTCGTCGCAACTTATACAACAGCGAAAGATATTTTTAGACAAAGAACGATAGCTTATGTATAAAATTGCTTTTACATAAATACCTAACGATTAGGCACTCCGCACATTACGCGCCTAATCTTAGTAGAGTAATCGTTTCGACATGCCGAAACGAATGCATGACGACTCCACTTCTGCACACTACCGCGTACCTGCATAAGCCCTTGAGGCACACACATACCACACATTATATATTTTCTGGCCGTTCTTTCTCAATGATACACTTCCGCGAATATTTCTGCAGTAAAATATTGCATAAAGGCTTATAGTTTAGTAAAATTAGCACGAATTTTAGCACAAAATCATTAATTCTCAATTATTTCCTATGGAAGTGACAAATAATTTTTGTTTCCAACACAAAAAGTAAACAAATGACGATTTCAAAACAGCAAGCGCCTTACAATGTTGGGCGCTTCGATTCATGAAGCTTTTATGATTAGGCGAAAACATGATTATGAATTGTAATGTACAGATCATCATTCAAATACATGTGTTCGTAATAAAAGCTTCATACTTTAGTATGCCGAAACGATTACACTGCTATGATTAGGCGCTTAATGTACGGATTGCCTTAGTTTCGTGTAATTATCATTTGAACGAATGTGACTGGTGGGGCACTGAAAATAATTTACCTCTGTGAACTCAAAGACGAATTTTAGTTAAAACACTTAATTTTTACGAAAGGTGCTTTTGCGTTGTAAAATATGAACTATACGCTTTCTTTTTCAACAAAAATTAGGCCTATATAATATTAATAGATATATTAAAAAAAAATATATTTAAATTTGTGACTGGTGTAAAGTAGTTATGCATGAAGTAAAAGTTTCCATAGACCAAATTACAACTTCTTTTTAACCGACTTCAACAAAAGGAGGGGGTTATCAATTCGTAGGAATATTTTTTTTTTATGCATGTTACCACATAACTTTGGAAATTCTTTTTGCATCGGAAAGGTCCAATACTAATCTGGTTTAGATCCGATCATTGGATCATGAACAAATTAACGGTACTCCTAAATTTTTATATGCGATTTGAAGTTTGTTTTGTTTTTTGTTTAAAAATTGCTTGTTATTTTTTTAAATCCTTGAACTGATTAATAAAATGTGGTTGTTTATAAAGGCCAAAATCACTTAGGCGGTTACAGCGCCAAAAAAGAAGAAGAAGAAGTTGTTTTAAAAGAGGTTAGTACTGGAATAGAGATAATTAGCGCATTTTGAAATGTATGTCGTTTTCCTCGTTTACATGGAATGGCCCTTAACATAAACTTATTTTTAATCAGAATAATTTATTCATCAAGCACAAGCACCGTATCATTAGTTAAATAAAAACAACAACAAAATAATAAAAAGTTCCTTATTAAAAAGTTCTATTTTTTTATTGAAATAACTAAAAATAAATAAAACAAACTATAGTCTCTAACTGCCAGAAGAAACTGAATGATAAACATTAAAATTTCAACAAATAAAACTAATTAGTAAATTTAGCTGTTTTTCTCTGACTGATAAGTGAAAAAACATCCAGTGAACTATTAATTTAACGTCATTGTTTCGCTGCTATAATTTTTTGGTATTTGACGTTTAGTTTCGGGTAGAGGTGAAAAAATATCGACGATACAATCGATGCTTTAAGACCAATTGTAAGACCAATTAGGGGGAAAATCTTAACATTGCAAACCGAGTTACTCGCAAATTTTGTCCAATCTGTTTATGATCAGTAAGCGAGCGATATCTATAAAAGCATGTTGATTTAAAGCACTTCTTGGACCAGTGAACTTAATTATCTCAAGGTAAAGTCCCCAAAGGAATCATTTCAACAACGTAGCACACGTTAAAATTAGAAAAAAATAAAATACAAATTTTGGTGCGAATTCCTCAAATACTCGTAGCTTATATCAGTATTTTTCGTTCAATTAAATACACATATAGATACATATAGTAGCAGGAACCCTGCAGTAAAATTTAGAGACAGTCTGTTAAAGCGCTAGTTCCGCGCTATACATTTCAGAACTATCTATGAATTAGTGCAAAGCGGCTGCAGAGAGGGTTTATTGTGGGTACCTGCCGTAGTATACGGTATACGGCTAACATTTGGCGAATTTATCTAACATTGCGATGCCCTACGAAGTGTCGATTGCCCCCCGCTGCATTCCTTTTTTTGAAACTTTTCTCTCTTAGCCAGCTATATATATAATTTAAGAATGTAAAATAAAATTGTTTTGTAAAAGTAACACATTTCGCTGATTTTGAAATTTTTTTTCGAAATTTAGTTCACTAGTTCCGGGTTTCCGTGCAGGGTGTGTACAATAGGGCAGGTCGCAAAACACAACATTGTATAGGTCTTAAAAGGTGTTATTTAATCTCTTATTATTGAAAAGAAATCCTGGTACTCTGCGACAATGTCTTTATTCTGCGGAATGAAAAAATTAAAATAAGAGTGGGAATACCAATTTGTTAAATTTTTACAGCGACTTGTGTAGATCGAATTCGGAACTTATTTCCTATCATAAAATCATAAAAAATAAATTGGGCAAATTAAAAGTAAGTAACATCAATTTACATTTTAAATTTATATTTTAATGAATTAATAAATTAATAAATTAAGTAGGAAACATAGATTAATCGATTAAAATTAAGGATTAGGGATTAAAAACCAACTTTTAAGAACTCTATAATTTTCGTTTTAAACCTGTTGTATTTTTCGACCCGCCCTAATGTACAAGCATTTTAAATTGATTCTTATGTACGTACATATATATGTAAATCCATATGTGTGTGTCTTACAAATAAATAAGATAAGGTCAAGGTCGCGAAGCGGACAAATTGATAGCGCCATTTTTATCACTCTTCTTTGATTAATTGAAATTGCGAAAACACTTATGCAATGAATCGTTATCATATCAAGATGTGTGTATTTATATATATTTTAAATAAGTGTTTTGTTAAATACATAAGATTAGATGGGGCAGAATAGATAGCTGAGAAAGCTTTTCATTCAGTGAGCACTTTTAGTTCCCAGTCAGGAAAACGGTTTATAGTGTAACTAGTCGAATAATACGACTTCAAACACCCATTTTTGAAAGAATGGTTTAAAATGTTATAGTTTGAAAATGTTCTACAAAGGGGTTAAATCCGACCATCGGATCATGAAGAAATTGACGATAATCTTAAATTTTTATATGAGAATTGAAGTCGGGTTTGGGTTTTTTTTAAATTACTTGTTTTAAACCGACTTCCAAAAAATTAGAAGGTTATCAATTCGTCAGAATATTTTTTATTATTTTTTTTAATGTATGTTACCGCATAACTTTGGCCACGTCAAACGATTTCGATAATTACATCGGAAAGGTAGTGTCTCCGAGGTGGTACCATACTAATTTGGTTTAGATCCGATCATTGGATCATGAAGAAATTAACGGTACTCCTAAATATATAGGAATTGAAGTCGGTTGTTTTTTGCTTAAAATATACCTGTTATTTTTTTCGTTTAAGAATAATCGTTAGATTTGGATTTTTATTTTTTTCTATCAAAAGTTTTTTTATGTGAGAGTTTTTTTATGATCTAAATCTGAAATCGAAAACCAATGGTTATAACACCGTGCGGCAGTCAATTTTACACACAAATATAATCAATAGGGATATTTAGATACCAAATTGAGCAAGTGGCACTCGGACAAACAATTGCCCGAATGCCAAGTCACTTGCCCAATTTGGTGAATACCCTTAATATATTCACGAATCTATGGGCCAAATATAGTAGAATAGCGCTTTTAGAATTTTTGAGGTCTTTGCAATTTCAAAGATATTAATAATTCCAAAAATTATGTAAAAACTTCAGGGCAATAGGCATCAAATAAAACACGAAATTCTATAGATTTCAGGCTGTTTAAATTTTTTCGTTCATAAGGACGAATAGGTATTGAAACTGTGCTTTGAAAATTTTTTCCTTGAATATCCCTGAAAATTTGCCATGTTTCCATTCTTCCTTCTAACTTTATTAGCTAAAAAATAAAATTAGTAAAAAGGGCATTCTCAATATCAACTCGTCCTTGTGAATAAAAGAAAATTGATTTTAAATCTACAGAATTTTTTTTCCATTACCATGCATATTGTTATTCTATATTTTGTCATTACAATATTTACAATATTGGAAAAATCATATTTTTGAAATTTCGAAATCCTTTAAAAAATCCTGACTTCAGTGAGAAAAAGTTATATTAATATATGCAAATTTGGCCCATAGTTTTCCGAGTATATTGAATGATTCGTGCAGTTTGAAATTTTTTTGGGTTTTGTTGCACAAAATAATAATTAAATTTTATCAGAAAAATTTAAATCTGATTTTAACGGTTAAATTATAATTTTTATTATTAAGATCATATGCGTTCCTGGTTTCATGAAACATAATATAATTTTTTAACAAAAGACGAAACTTTAACCCTATGTTAAAAAAAAAATATGTTAATTAAATGGAGCGAAATCTTTTTGTGGTTTGACTACCACGTCTAAATACTTAAGTGCGGACATAATTTATATAGTTTAGGCCCAAAAATGGCTGAAAAAAATCTTGGAAACGTTTTGTTTTCAAAATGTGACCACTCCACAACTTACTGAGTACCGCAAATCCAGTTTTACATGCCTTGTAATCAGCCTAGCAATATCCACCAAGCAAAAAATCCAAGAGGAACGTTATAATACTACTTAGAAACAATTTTACACGATTTTTTTAAAATAATTTTTTTATTTTTTCTAACTCTTATTTTAAAAACGCTTATTTACAATAATTATTGTCTTTCATTCATGCATTAAACATTTATATATTTACACTACAGGAGGATCAAACAGCCAGGCTCTCCTATTTTTTATTGTTGGTATCCTTTGGTTGTACGTGTATCATTACTTTAATGGCGCCACCATGGCCATAACGCGCAGTCTCGAATGCCTTCGCCGTCTCGGTGATATCAAAATGATGAGTAATCAGTCTTTTAACATTTACCTTACCGGTAGCGACTAACGCCAGAGCAGCAGGATAGCTATTAAAAATTTAACAAGTCAAATAATTTTTTCGCACTTATTTAGTTTAGAGATAACTACTCACTCATTGCAGTAACGGAATACACCGCGTATATCAACCTCTCGCGCTAAAGCGTTGATCAGCGGAATTTTTGGTTCTGGTGAACCCATGCCGACGATGACAACGCAGCCGCCGGAGCGTGTAGCCTAAAATTTATTAAATTTTGTACTTATTTAGTTGTAATAAAAAACTGTAAATTTTTTTCTATATATTTCATAGTTATGTATGTACATATATCGCACTTACGAAAATGCTCAAGCGTGTTGTTGACTCAGCACCGCAGCAATCGATCGTCTTATCTGGCTCTACACCCATTATTTGATGTATTTGTTTGGCTATCTCCTCTACGCTGTCATCCTTATCCATGAGCAGCGTATGCGTGGCACCTAATTCCTTGGCGACATCTAAGCGATTCTGCACCAAATCCGTAATCGTTATCTGATCTGCGCCCATTGCTTGCGCCGTCAGCAGTGTCACCAATCCGATAGGACCCGCTCCTAATACCAGCACTTTTGAACCCAGGCCCACACCGGCACGGCGGCACGCATGTACACCAACTGCGAGTGGTTCAAGTAATGCACCCTCCTCCATGGTAACATGATCGGGCAGTTTATAGCAGAAATCAGCAGCATGCTTGTAATAGCGTGTGAGGTTGCCATCATACGGAGGTGTGGCACAAAATACCATATCTGGGCAGAGATTATATTGACCGCCCTTACAGTGGTCACAGTAGCGGCAAGGTACACCCGGTTCACAGGCGACACGATCACCAACAGCTAGATGTTTAACGTCTTTGCCCAACTTTGCAACTACGCCAGAAGCCTCGTGTCCAATAATCATTGGCTTGTTGAGTACAAAATCACCGATACGTCCATGGACTAGGTAGTGTACATCGGAACCGCAAATGCCGACAGAGTCCATTTTTAAAAGCACATCTAGCAGAGAAAGATAGAAAAGTAGTGGATTATTTTGGTGAATGTTCGACGACAATGCTCAGTGAATGTATGTAGTACAAACCATGATCTCCGATTTCTGGAATGGGGCGTTGTTCCTGTAAAAGAAAAGAATAATACATACATTTATTAAAAAATGTCAAGCAACTAGGTCATAAGATCAGGAGGGAGCGAACTTTATATGCTGCTCTTCTAGTGTTTTTAAGGGTCTCGGGTATTTTCTCGTTTTCGTTTAGTCGCTGTATTTATATACCTATTCGTCTTCGTGTTAGTTTTCGCATTCAGCTTCGTATTCATTATAGCCGCTGTCTTCGTATTCATTTCGGAGTATTCGCCTTCCCATTAGTCTTCGTATTCCTCATCGTATTCATCGTCGTATTCTTCTTCGTATTTATCTACGTCTTCATATTCATATTCATCTCCGTATTCGTCTACGCACTCATCTACGTTTTCCTCTTGATATACGTCTTCGTATTTGTCTTCGTGTTCGTATTTATCTTCGTCGTCGTATTCGAATTCGTCTTCTTATTCAACTTCGGTAGGTCTGTGTATTCGTTTTCAGCCTTGCTTCGTTAGCATATTCATGTTCGTATTCGTATTCGGGTTCGTCTTCGAATTTGTGTTCACATTCGTCTTCTTATTTGTATTCGTTTTCATCTCCTTATTCGTCTTTGTATTTGTCTTCTTCCTCGTATTCGTATTGGTCTTCCTATATTCTTCGTATTCGTCTTCCAACTCGCATTATTGTTCGTATTCATCTTTCTACTCATGTATCCGTCTTCGTCCGTCCGTCCGTGTTCAAAAACAAAAAGACAAAGCAAAAGCAAATGCGAAAATACACACGCAAATTTTGAGACAATTTTTTTCTAATTATTTCTACATATTTTGATTGATTACACAGATCGACAAATTTAGACTTTTTACCACCTGAGTAAAACACATCGTATCTTGTAGATTTTTTGGTGCTGAATCCAAATATCCCCGCAGAATTCCTCAAGCACATGAGATATCCTAACCTCAAAGTATATTATGAAAACATCCAATTTTTTTCTACTTAGGGCATCATTTAGTATCTCCCCATTTAAAATTCATTTTAGTTTGTTGCGATTCGATTTTTTCTTCCTCTAGATATGTTTACCAGTTTTAATGTGCAGTACTTTGTATTTTCTTTTGAAACTCAAAAGTTGGCAACACTGCATATCGGACTCGTCGGCATCTAAGTGAGAAGCATGCTCCAGTTAGATGCTCAATCAAAATGTGAAGCAATGCTTTCCTGTGAGAAGTGAGAAGCATGCTCCAGTTAGATGCTCAATCAAAATGTGCTAAAGACGAAGGAAAGCATTGCTTCACTATCTATCAAGTACTTGCCGGCTTAAGAATCTATTTACATACGTACATACATACATACGTACTACATAGGTACTCAAAATCTTAAAACTTAAGTAGCTAAGTCGAAAGCAAATTTGATCAAGAGATGCTAGTTATGGCTGGACATATGATAATAAAAATTTATTGATAAGAAAAATTCCAGTCAGTTTTTGTGGCTCGGCAACATAATGGCATTTCAAACAAGTTCCCACAAAATTTTTGAGTAAGTATTTGACTTGTAATAAAAACTCAAAATTAAATTAAATTTTTTTAATTGCAGTTTATTTCGCTAGAGGTGTCACTGACTTGCCTCGTAAAAGTATGTATAAAAAATTTTTTGGGTAATTAAAGAGATTTTTTTGTGGTCTAAAAAATCATTTCATCTACAAACAAACATAAATTATATGCAAAAGATTATTTTATAGGCGCATAAAATATATACATACATACATAAGTAATTTTTGTTGAATTCTTCGGTGACAATTAGACCAAGGAAGCTCATCAAAATTAACAAAATATAAGCCTAAAATTGGCCAGAAAATTGAATTGTTAATAAAACTGAACACTGAAATTTAAAACATTCATAACAAAAATTTTATGAAAAAAAGCAGGACGTACTTTGGAAAAAATACAGTGACCCAAATATAAAGTGTAACGCGAACTTTTGCAATTTTCGGCTATTTTTCTTAAATTTATTAAATGTATTTTATTTTTTTATGGAAATATAGCTGATTACTTAAAAAACACCATATGAGTTCTAATTTCAGCCTTTGTGCAAAAATTATGAAAATTTCGCAAAATTTGGTATAGTGCAAATTTGGACTAGTTAGGACCTACCGTTGACTTATGACGGTTTAGGCATTTTTTTCATACACAGTATTGCCAAATATCAAGGGTAAGTCCTAGGTACTTTAAATTTGCACTTCATTACACTAAAACTTTAAGTTTTTAAAGATGCTGATTAAAAAGCTAAAAGTGTTGGTTAAAATTTGTATAATTTTCATAATTTTTGCACAAAGTATGAAATTTGGATTTAAATGGTGTTTTTTGAAGTAGTCAGCTATACCTTAAAAAAAAATAATAAACATTACAGGAAAATAGCCAAAAACTTGCTAAACTGTCGCATCCCTATTTTTGTTTGGGGCACAGTATATTTTTACCTAAAATAAAAATCATCGAAATCGACCTGGTCTTTTAAGACCTTTCGGATTAGACAAAATTGTCTTTCAATTTTATATAACACAGTTCGACATGATAATTTTATCCACGATAAAGCTAGCAATTTCTAATAGATTTGGGTCACTAAATTTGTAAAAATGGAAATTTATATATTTGAATTTAAAAAAAATAAGCAAAATCGGCCAAAAACGGCTAACTATTTTTGGCAAAACGGCTAACTAATCGGCTGCCGGCTAAACTGAATTTTTTTTTCGGCTGTTTGCTATCGCAACCGGCTAAATCTAGCCGGAAAACGGCTAAACTTTTATTCTACAAAAACAAATCGTCGTTTAAAGTGCAAAACCGCGTATCAACAAAATGCAAAACCGCGTATGTGAAGTTGTAGAAATTATTTTCTAGAGCGTAAAAATACTCATATTTCTAAATGGTTCTGTTTTTTATAAAGCAATCGCATGGCTAGTATATTTCAGGACGAATGGATAAGAATTGAGCCAAGAGCTTATGTGAGCAAATCCAATTTTTGGCAAAAAATGTCAGTTAAGCGGTTTTGCAGAATGACGATACGCGGTTTTGTACTTTAAACTTCCTTTGGGGTTCCTTAAGCAGGGAGCACACGATTTGTAGATTTGTACAGACATTTTTATCGATAACGAGTTCAGCTTAATAAAATACGTTTTCCTTGTCGCCATGTACGAATTTCCGGAAACCTTTGAAAGTTTGCATAGTATGATTTGGAGGCGTCAATATAACCATTCAACTATGCAAGGAATTAGTAAAAACTGGTATATATAAAAAAATCATCGTTTAGCTTATTCCAACGAAAAAAGTATGCTGGTGTGACCAAAGACCAGAGATTCAATTTTTTTACGTCCTTAGGGATTTTACGATGTCTTAAGTTCATCGAACACTCGTCGATTGGGCGCTTTTTTTATGGCTGATAAACCTTCAACTCTGGAGCACTTAATTCCGAAATTCTTCCAAAAATTTGCTTCAAAACGATCAAGGATTTAAAAAAAAATAAAGGTTCGACTTCTTGTCTGAGCAACATCCAAAAGGTAGTTTGCGTAACAACGCGTTATAACGGTCGCCCATCGGTGAGAGTGGTTTTTTTTTTGTTTGCAATGAAAAGATTCGCATAAAAACTATGTAGGCGGCATAAAGCTGTTAATCCTCTCATTTGTGTGAGAACAGCTAAGGCAAGCGGTAAACAAAATGTGTGAAACGTCAAGTGTTTTTTTTTTCTGCTTATTTTAATTTTATTTTTCGTATTGCAAATGAGGGCGCGTCTAACCATTTGAACGGAACTGTATGTATGCATGTTTGTATTTAAATATCTACATGTGTTTGTCTGCATACATATGCCCAGAGTGCAGACGAGCCCACTTCTAAAATAAACACTTGTGCGTACATAGTCTATGTATGTAGGTATGTGCATATTCCCAGCACTAAATTAGACTTTGACTAGCAGGGCTAAGAAAATTTCCTTTTAGTTTCCTTATGAAATTATACAATTTTGGATGAACGGAATTTATTTTTAAATATACTATGTACACGTTTTAGACTATTTTAAGAAACTTAAAATATCGCACGCTTTTTCTGCTTTGTTACGTAGAAATATTCTTTTTGTAGAGTATTTTCCCCTGATAGAAAACAAAAACGACTTGCAGACTTGTAGTCAAAATAAATATCGTATAATAACACTAGGCGGCAAGAAGTCCCACCTGTCAAGTGAAATCAAAAATTTTTATGGAAATTTTTGTGTGCATTTTTACTTAAGTGGTCATAACTTTTATATTTGTTATTCAATTAAGATAGGTAGAGTCTTATTGTATGTGAAAAAGATCATAATTTAACGTCCCAGAAAGAAACCTGAAGTAAACAAACTTGTTCATGTTGTTGTTTGTAAAGCAAGTAAAATTTTTTTTTAAATTTTATTAAAAATTACGCAACATACATAGCGGTTAAATCCATGAATAGCTCCGGAACGGCTAGTTCGATTGGAAAATGTTGTTGACGTGGATGATGCTAAATTAAGTAAGCTTCACTTTGGAAAAAAAATCTGAATGCATTTTTCAAAACCCAAAAACTGTTCTATTTTTTTTTTTTGACTTCATATTCGCATTCGGCGGATATTTTTACTTTAGAAAGAATGGTCAAATGCCACAGGTCGGAAACTTTTTTTCCATATCTGTAAACTTGTGTAATCTGTAGCAAAAAAAAAAAAAATGAAAAATTCCAGCGCAAGAAATTAAGTCAACAAGTATAGTTGGAGAATAGCGTAAAATAGCGGTAAGACTTCGTGGTGAATTTGTTATTGACATTTTTTTTGTTTTGATTTGCTTATGTAATTTCAGCTGTTTATACAAAATTTAGCACAACTAACGTGTGTGCCTTATGCAGAATGAGCATTTAGGGGGCGTTTTTATCCTTACTACTTATAAGTTAAAAATCAATATACACGTCTAGTCTTTTGAGGAGAACTTCGCCTAAATTGTTTCACTTGTCCTTTGTTTACAATGATAAATTTATTGACTCCAATTAAAATTCTTTCAAACGCTTTACACTTGCTTAACTTGTGATTTAAGTTTTGCTTTTACTTCACTGTTTGATTTCCAAATCCTAATTTGTTACGGGTAGATACCAATGTACGCCCACTCTAACTCACCAAACGTAAATCTTCAATGCCGTGCAATACCGCTGTTAAATTGTCGTTTGCCATGTTGATTATACTGATTGAAATAAATTAAGTAAGAAAGAATAAAGTATGCACACTTGTCAGGATTAGTTAGTTATTCCAAATAGTCGACTGCTCTCAAGCAATGTTCCCGACGAACTAAAGTCCAATTCATATGGAACGCTAAAAGTTGACTTTTGCGTATTTGTCAACGGTGTGTATTGCGCTCTGTATACCTCTTCGTATTCCCTGCAGATACATACTTATGAATATAGTAAATATGTATGTACATTAGAACGTACCACCTTACGGCAAAAAAAAAAAAATCGCTTAAACCCCTGATCCTTGAGCATTTTTGCAAGGCTACTTCAAAAAAAAAAAATATTGGCGAACCAGGGTGTCGTTTTTTTAATTTTTCGGTGTCACCTAGCTTCGGCGATAAAAAAAAATTTTGTATTGATAATTCTACTGGAATAATCAAAATACCCCCTTGTCAAAAGTTAAGTGATTTTTAGTGCGCTTTAATTTAAGATCCGATTTTAAGATCCGACTGTAAATACCGAAACATAACCAAAAAAGAGGTCCCCACTTTCGACTTAAAAAAAATCGAGACTGCC